TATTGGGGAGGTTTCCCTGAGACAAAGACTTCTGCATGTCTGCAAGTAAATAGAAAAGAATAAATGTACATTCATTTGAATTTTCCATTATTTCAGTAAATCATTTGTCCTCATGACATGCTCAGGAATAGGTGAGAATCTGAAGATGACATGGGGCTCAGTTGGTGCTATACATTTTGAAACATGAAAAAAATAGGTATCAGAAGTAATAGGCCTTAAGGGAAAATAAGTCTTCCCTAATTATCGCAGGCTCTGCACGCATGCTTTGTGCCTGCTAATGATGGCGGAGATGTGACAATTTCCTTTAAAAATCCAGCCCGTATCATTCTTTTGTGCCAAGGTAATTCAGATGCAATGGACGAAGAGCAGATTAGGACATGATCCACTGATTATAACTTTCTGTTGGATTTATAGCACCAGATGGCTTAATTATTCTCAACACTTCTCCATCTCTGTCTATCAGGGAAACCAGATGTAATTTCTACCTTCTGATGTAATAGATACCTAAGATTGAACACAAGAAACGAAATATGAAACACAGAGCAAATAACTGAGATAGAAACTTAGTGGAAGTACACCTGTGTAACTAAGCACAGGTACCTAAAGCTCCTTCTTTTCCAGCCCATCAAAACTGGTTTGCAGATATAGTGAGGCAGAGCTCCGTGGAAGACATTGATGGTGTAAGTTCTGACTCTACGCACTTACTTTTACTCCACAGACACACACACAGGAAACACATGTATGTGTGACTGTGTAAATAAAACAGAATTCATGCTTTCTACCAGCACCACTTGGTCATGCATTTAAATTTTGCTTTTCTTACATCAGCTTTTTATCCATGATGACCATACCAAGTAAAAAGTGCCAAACTGCTGAGTCATGTTCCCCTATCAGTCTGTTTCAGAAGGATTTCACATCATGCCTTATTTGCTTGTTGCTTTGTCTGTCTTCTAAGGATATGACTTGTCTAGTCTAGCATGCCTTCTGATTTCCCACATAACTCGCCATCTTAGCTAAGCAGAACTAAAACTGTTCCCAAAGGTACATTCATTTCACCGCTAGGTATGGAAATATCTTGCATTTGGCTGCATTTCCCTTTCATACCTTCAGGCTCAGCTCATGAGCAACATCAAATATCCAGCCACGCACAGGTGGGAAGAAAGCTAATGCGGGACTTGGCAGGTGGGTGACCAAGTGAAGTTGAATATTTAAGGTCAGTGCCTAAAGGTCGCTATTTTTGTGGGTGAAAAATATAAATCAGGTTGTTCCCATTAGGAAATACATATTCAAATTCTAACTTTCCACCCACACTAACCGCAGGCCACCCTCACCACCACTCTAATTGGATATCCTGCAAGCCACCTTGAGCACTATTTTACACAACAATGATAAATTCTGTACACTCCAAGTGTGTCTTCGTTTTTTCTGTCATCATCCAAAGCACACGGTCTGGCCCCTGGGCAGCAACCCGTAAATGCTGTGGAATGAAAAGGCAGTATCTGTAGTCTTTTCCCAGAAGAATAGATCATTCTTCTAAGTAACATAATTGCTCTTCCCACTGACAGTTTACAATTCTGGAACAAAAGCTGTGCTATGACATCTTGACATGGTTCCTGGGAATATGAAAAAAGACGGGATCACATTTTCATGTTCTGAATTTGTTTTCAGTGATAGACTTCCCACTGGAAGTAGGTTATTTACGACCTAATAGTTACTTGACTGGAAAAAAAAAAAGTTAGCAATGCAAAGATAAATAATAATTCTAATGTTAATTTTAAACCTGCCAGGAATCTAAGAGTCTTGTAAAAATATTGCAGGAGAGGGATGCTTGGAATAAGCATTTACCAGTTTCTTCCAGTAATGTACTTATTTATATTTTAGGGTGATTTTTAAGTCAGTTCCATGATGATCACACACTCAGGAATACAAAGAATGATTAAAGAAATAAAGTCAAGGAAACATCAGAGTGTTCTATAGCTGACTGGACTTTGAAATCATAGGCTGGTGTAACTATTTTAAAATACTCTTTTAAAATTTTATCTTAGCAAATTATGCTGCAGTGATGCATTCTAGTAGACCGCCAACATTGTCCACCTCAGCATTTTTTTTTTGGGTCACCTTCAGTGAATTCAAATGCCATGTCACTGTTCCTGAAGAGTGTGTGGAACAATAACAAAAGCTAAGACATTGGTAGCCAAGTCACAGACCAGTAGAGACTTGTTAATGAGTAGCCTCCATTCTGTTAGGGCAGCCCCAGCATGAAGCAGCATTCCAACCCTGGGGAGCCATGCCGCAGGCATTAAGAGGAAGGAATGAAGATTTCTTTTCCAAATTAAGTTGTCAAGGAGCTCATTCACACTGCACACCAAGTGTATGTGGGTGAACTGATGAAGATGATGATTTATGATGCCATAGACACTTAAGTGATTCTAGTGATGGAAAATCCACAGCAAAATCCACTTAAGAAGATCAAACAGAGCTTCTATTATCTGTAGGAGGTAAAGCCATGTGACTTTTGCCCTTACACATTGCAAGTTGTCCTACTGGGTTTGGGAATCGAAGGAAGTTCATTTACTTAGAATTCACATTTTGGTCTAAAGTTATACAGACTCACAGATGCCATTTTTTCCCCTAAAGTTTATACTCATTAGATCTACTTTAAAGGAATTTTGACAAGTCTTTTCCCTTTTTTGGAAGGAATGGTGAGCATTGGATCTGACTAATCATATCAGTGATAGTGATGTAGCATATCAAACTTTAAAATGGCTCTATATGTAGCCATTCATCTGGAGAAGCAGTAAATAGACATTTTGGGGAAATCTGTCTTTAAAAACATATGTTTGAAAAGGCTGAGCAGATACATCAACAATCTAGACGGGCATCATGGTAAGTGGAGATGTCTTCACTATGTTTCATTGAGAGACAAATTGGATCACAAAGAAAAAGTTAAAAATGATAAAACCAAAAAAAAAAAAAGTGGGAATTGTACAATTGATGGGCTTGGTCCTTAAAAGCTAAGCAAATGAGTGTTAAGTGTCTTATGAGAATTGATAGGTCCTGATCATACTTGATTTTTTAAGTATCTGTCATACCCAATTTCAGTGGCAAAGTGCCAGCTTTAGAAATAAAATACCAATGACAGGTAAATTCCTATATAGATTAGGCAAAAGGGGAAAAAACTCATTTAAGATCTGTGGTTAAGCCAGTGTTACATTTTTCATAAATGTTTTCAGAGTGTGAAGCCTGCCCCTTTGGAGAAACTTAATGTCACCATCCCTGAGCCCAAGTTTATTTACAGCATCTCAAATACAGGTAAGAGTTTCATTCACCTGTATCTATGCATGAGATTATTATATGCTTCCTACACTGCAGAATAAAACGAACATTAACTATTCACAGAAACATACCACAACATTTATTATAGAAGTTTGCAAACTTGGCCCTCCATGATGACACAATGACTAAGAGTAGCACTATGAAGCAATCCACAGCCACTGCAGCGCAAGTTCAATCCCCAGCCGGGAAGGTGACCCACATGGCACAGCAGGCCTCTCCTGTCTCGCCCACTGCTCCCCTCAACAGTGTATTTCAGTAGATCTGCCTGTTATGCTCCCCACGCTCTCTGGTGAGTCCTCTCACCCCAACCTTTGGCCAGCACCCCAGGACATGCATAAATAAATGAATCTCGAAAAAAAAAGTTGTCAAACTGGTAGGGGTAATTGATACAGCATCTTTCTGCTTCTTCTGCTCTATGTAAGGCATGAGGGAGTATCTTGTGCTTTTCTTGGTTTGCTGCTTAATAGGATTCATCAGATATTCGTTGCACACATTTCTAGCTTTCTGGAGAATGTGGTCAATCTATCTGCTTTTTACTTCACCATGAAAAAAGTCAGGCCCAGGTGCTCGTTTACAAGCAAGCAACATATATGTAATAGTACAATGACTGGCACTCGATAAGCTTGATTCCTGGATGTCTAGGAGATATTACAAGTAAAAGCAATGTTTCAGCAAGGAGTTTGGTTTGCTTTGTGTATCATTTTTACCTCTTTTAATGGAGAGTTTTGATGAAAATCATTTTGGGTTAAAAAAAATTACAGACTGAAACCTGTGATCTCTCTACAGGATTCCATGAGCTCCCATTTCCTTTGCTCTGAGGAGCCATTGAAAGCACGAACTTAAAAAATGTAAAAGTTTCTTAAACATAACCTGAAAAATGTAAGGTTTTAGGGTGCAAAATAAACCTCAGGAATTTCAGGTGGCTGGAGCAGTTTCTTATCTGGAGTTGAATCACAGGATTTGTATTCCACTTAGACTTTTTTAAGTGAAGATAATACACAAGGTCAACATCTCCTACCAAGAACAATGACATTTACCAACATCATAATAGAACAGCCTATTTTCTACTTCTGTTAATAAATAACAACCAACAATGAAGCTAGTAGGAAAATGCAAACATCTTGATGTGCTCACACTATTAGGTCCCTAAGAATCAATAGGCTACTTGAGTATAGAACTTTCCCCCCATGCATAGCTGGCGGACATTCATTTTAAGTGGCTGTCATAAGTGGCGTGCTGGAAGGCCTGGCTTTCCAGAAACACTCCCCTGTCTTAAATGGTCTGGCAACCAGAACGGCTCATCTGCAGGCCTCTGTGTGCCTGGCTGTGGCCGTGGGGGCCGCGAAGGTGGCACAGGGCTCCGGGAAGGGCTGCAGCCATGGCGGCTGGCTCTGTTTTCCAGTGCAAAGGAAATGAGTTTCAGACTTGGACCTGCCCACATATTTCAGTAGACCTGCACAGGTGCTTCAGCTCCCTCAAAGATCCTTAGCCAAATAGCACCCAGCATTGAAAACATCCGAAAAACTGTCACCTCCAGCTTAACTCCTGTCCAGTGCAGTTGTGGTATCCGTCTCGAAAATATAAATAAAATATAGGAGTGGAATACTCCAAGTGAAGTTGCTTGCCTGGTATAAAACACACTCCTGAAAAAATGTACTTTTTGATTGGCAATTTAATAACTTATTTATTAGACAGTATAACCAAATGACAGCCTGTGTGTAATAAAGTCGTAAATACAAAGAACGGTGTTTTACATATTAGTAAGCAATAAAAATAGCAAATACTCGTACATCTCTCAGTCTCTGAAGTGCTGGCTTAAGATTTGTTTGTTTTAAATGGAACAGAAGGGCTTAGGAATGAGGGACAGAGAACAAAGTCACATGGGCGATCAAAGCGAGGAAACACTGGCCAACGTCCTGCTGTGAGTTACCAGCTCTCATAAACATCTCGCTAGTGTCAGCTGCTCCCAGCCAAAATACCCCGAACTCTCTTTAATGAATACTTCACGGTCTTGTTGTTCCTTACCAAAAAAGGAGCAGTGTTTTGATTCAAATTAAATGCTGCACCCCTTACACTCTTTATCTAAGGCCAGAAACTAAAACCTTTCGTCAAACTCCTTTCAAACTGCTTTTTCTTTTGTTGCTCACGGGACCTAATGCTTCCGCAAACATCTTAGAGACCCAGATGCCATCTTCAAATGTGTTTCCTTTATATTAGTGTTCTGATTGGAATAGTGGATGGGAACTTGTATCTACATCAATGATGTTAAGTGATAAAAGCATATTGCCAATCCATGAAGCCTTTTTTAGAGCTGCACGTAGCTTCTCCCCAGGAAGCCCCTGAAAATGTGTCTGCACTGAAATGCATTTCAGTGTCACAAACCCCCAGGCCCTGGCTGCCACTGTTTCTGCAGATGTGTGTTCATGTGTGTATTTTCTCAGGGGGTCCAGGCAATGGGGGCCCCAAGTCCTGATGCCTGATCTTCACTTTCAGTCATTCTGAAAGTTAGGAGAAGACAGGGAGGAGCAAGCCAGACAACAAACCCATTTATTCTGATTCTTAAATCATAACTTTGTAGCATCAATATTTGGGTTACATTGTTACACAAAGGACAAACTGACATCCGGTTTGAGGTCTCTTCTTTGATTGCTTTGGGATTCGCGCCGCTTCCTCAGCAGACGAGTCCTGCGCCGCCCGACCCCAGCTGTGTTTCCATAATACTGTACAAGGCGCCAGACGGGAAGGGCGTGAGAAGCCCTCCGAGGACACCATCACCACGGCCTGGAACTTCAGGGGCTCCAGAGGCGCCGGGCTGAAAGGCCAGTGCTGCGAACCTCCTTCCGTGGCAGATTAGAGGGTGCAGAGGGGCAGGAGCTGGCCTGCTGTCTTCGAAACACCTGACCCCCGTGTTCACCCAGAGGTGGAGACCAATACCGGGAAACACTGCTGGGACGTCCCCGGCAGCCCAGCGCCCAGTGGCCCAGGACTCGGTGACTTCGACCCCCTCGTCCGATGTGACTTGGCCACCAGTAGTGTCAGGTTCTAGAGTATTCCGGAGTGCCAGCCAGACCCAGAAATGCAGGTGCGTCGGAGAGAGTGTCTTGGAAAGAATTAGCAGAATTGTCCATTTCTCACTTTTACTTTGATGGCCAAGTACCATTTTTCTGGTTTGCACTCATCCAAAACAATAATGCACAGTATTTTTTGTTTGATTTGGTCTCATCCAGGAGTTTAACACACACACACACACACACACACACACACACAAAAGAAATACGGCTGAGGAGGGAGAGCTGAGTGTGTGCTTGTGGGGCGTAAAGCTTTTTTGGGTAAAAGTAAAACCACACACACGCAAACAATACAAAACTAAAGTCGCAGTCCAAGTGCAAAACTTGCTTCTCCAGGTAAAGCACTTCTTGACGGGTGTCGCGCCGCCCCCAGGCCGCCCAGGGCTCAGGCAGCAGGTGGCGGGCGGCGCCGCTCTGGTTCTTAAGGCTGCACAGACCTCAGCACACGCGGAGAGCACAGTCCCAGGGCGGCCGCAGGCCCACACGCAGGCTCTGGCCCCAGCTGCCGTCTGTCCTCCTGGGGCGGCGGCTCCCCTGGGGGGCAACAACAGCACGCACAGACAAAATAAGAGTGACTGGTCCCCACAATAAAAGCCGATATTGACTTTACAATCACAGGTACAGATTTGCTCAAATCGATCCTCTGAGTCTCCCGAAGACCTTGTCGTCTAGAACTCATCGGAGGCCAGGTGCCCGAGGAATGGCCGGTGGCCAGAGGACACTGGAGATGCAGACAGGGCGCGTCCTCTGCGCCAGCAGTCCGGTGGAGGCTGGAAACCAGGTGTCCTGTTCGGACAAGTTCAGGGCCTCGGGGGCGGATTCCGGGGCCACCAGGCTCCAGGCTCCTCAGAGGGGGAACACCAGGAAGCCGGAGAAGGTGGAGTACTTCCAGCCCCCCATGAGGTTGCCCCGCTCCAGCTTGAGATGCACCTTGTCTTCCCTCTCCATGAGCAGCAGAACGCCGTTGCTGGCGGCCTCCCGGGTGACGTCCTGGTCCCCCGCAAAGGCTGAGATCACTGGGTACCCGTTCTGCATGAGACTGACCTAAAACGCAGAGCGGAAAGCTCAGCAGACCCGCCAGGACCCCTCTTCCCGCACACCGCTCCTCGCTGGGCCCCGGGATGTGCTGTCTGGAGCCCCCCGCCGGGGAGGGCCAGGACCCAGAGGCCTCAGCTGCTGCCCCCTGGAGCCGGCTGCCCAGGTCTGGGGGCCCCTGCGGGGGGGGGAGGGGCGGCAGGAGGAGCCACCCCTGCGAAGACCCCCGTCGTGACCTACCTGGATGGTTTGTCTGTTGTAGACTTTGACCACGTGGAAGCTGAAGCTATAAATCCCCTTTCTCGGAGCTACAAATATACTGGAGGCGAGATCGAAATGGTTGCCGATATTTACTAATACCTGGAAAAGAAGGGGCACAGAGCTCGTCCCTGCAGTCTGCTGTCAGCAGACACACCCACGCGGCAGGGCCTGCTGGGCTGCGGGGCACAGACGGGGCCGTGCCCAGCAAGCAGGCCCACCGCAGGGGAACGTGGGGCGAGGAGCCCCACGGAGGGAATTAATAACGATCACTTAGTTATCCTACTGACGCACTGAACAGTGGATGGATACTCGGCCGGTCGGGCAAGACAGGGCTGCAGGGCAGACAGAAGGTAAAACGCGCTCAAGGGAGTCGGAACAGGTGTGGGGCGGGGGATGTGCACAGAAGCTCTGACAAGGTGCCCTGCGTGCGGCAGGAAGGTGCTAGGTGCCAGCAGAGTCAGGGGCAGGTGAGAAAGCCCGCTGCGAGGTGCAGGTGTTCCGGCCCAGGCACAGCCCTGCCTGCGCACAGTCGGGGATCGTGAATGGTTCTTGAGGGAAACCGCAGGATGGATAAACTTGGCGGCGCCTGCTCCCCTCTCCCCTGAGTGGCCGCACACACCCTGGTGGGACCATGACGTCATGCAGATCAACTCGATTACATAAGGGGAGCTGGAGACCCTTGCCCTCTGCTGGGGCCCCACAGGACCAGAGGTGATGAAGATAGCCAGGAATTCGATCCCAGGGGTCTGGCCATGGAGTCTCAAAGTGAAAGGGGGGCTTCCCAATGCCACATGCAGGGCGTGGGGTGTTCATACACCCGAGCAGCTGCTCTCAGACACGCTGCTCTGGGTGTGGGTCTGTGTCTACTCTGGCCCAGCGCCCCATGCACAGCCTGATTCAAACAACGCAATGACCCCCCCACACACACCCCAGCTTGTCAACAGTCAAGGAGAGCACCCTGGACCAGAGAACTGTCCTGGGATCAGAAAACAAGCCGTAATCTCTCACTGTCACTCCTTACTCATTTCAGGTGATGAGCCTGCAACTCCCAAAGCCATTTAAAAGCTGCCAGTGACATGGGGCGCTCTGCTAAGGTGGGGGTCAGCCTGCATCAGCTTCTCCTTAGAGCACCTTGCGGCACCCCACACTCAGGGTTCCACAAGAAGGGCCCTTGGGTGCCTGTTCAGACTGTCCAAGGCGTGGCCCTCAGTTGGCCTGATGAGCTTTTCAAAGGAAGAAGGCCCCTCTCGCCCAGCCCCGGGCCCTCTCAGCTCAGTGGCAACGTCAGTGTCCTGGTAGACGAAAGACCCTCAGCAACCCCAGACATGCAGCACTCAGTCACCCCCACCCGGGCAGCTGGGGAAACTGCCTGTCACCTACAGCTTCCCCAGACGTGACATCAGAACCCGATCGCGGCTTGCCTGCCCAGTTCTCTCAGCACCAGAATGATGGGTGGGAAAGAGCTGTGAAGACTGTCTGCAGGACAATGCACTGCAGGTAAGATAATAACAGAATAGCACACAGGAAAGAACTTATAGAGCACAGAGGCACCTTGTCATTTCTCGCTCGTGAGCTCCTTGATGTGTCCATCATCAAAATATGTTCCTGCCTTGTAAGTTCAATCAGATTAAAGAGAGACACCCCCCCCCCTTTCCTTTTCAGGTGCCAAAATGCAAAGCGAAACCAAACCCAAACTCCAAGGCCTATCCTTAGCAAGGTGGAGACAAACAGGTTGGCCAGACTGAAGAGTGTAGATTGCGCCACGTGGGCACGAGGGCCGGGAAGTCAGGTGTAGTGACCGCTGAGTGTCCATTTCTGGGAAGCCTCCTGCACTGGGCAAGGCCTGATCACACCACTAGGAGTTTGTCTGAAACACAACAGCCACTGGGTGGGGTGTCAACCTCCACCTAGGCCAGCCAGGGGCTCCCCAGCCAGGGCCTGCCTCTGGCATTTCTTCTTCAACTTAAGTGGCTTAAGACCTTAGGTCCTGGCTTTCCTCTTCAAAACTATGTATACAAGCATGAGCTGCACCCCAGCTCCCTATAGGGTGGACTGTTCTGTATTCTGCGTTGCTCAGAGCCGCTGAATATTCCATTTGTAGAGCACAGGCTCGGGCTGTCTTTATGTAACCTTCCTGCTATTTCCTGCACAGGCTTACCCACTGATTTTCCTGGAAGAGCAACATCCTTTTAAAGTAACCAAAGGCTGCATCTTTCTGAGAACTGGCTGAGGCTTCTGCAAAGCCCCTTCCGGAGCAAGGAGAGTTGAAATGTGCTCGGTTTAAGTGGGTCTGGCCTGCAGACCGCAGCCCACCGCACAAGGGACAGTCCCCTCCCCAAGCCTCTGCTTGGGGAAGTCTGTTTCATTCTCTAGCTTTCCCTTACTTGCAGAAAGCAGAGACAATCTCGGGGGACTGCCAGCGGGCAAGGGACAGGTTGCTGACAGTCCTAAACAAGCTACTCTCGCAGAGAGCACCCACGGGTGAAGTGGTGGTGGGAAGACCTCGGGGGCTACAGCCCAGGCGAACGGACGCACAAAGTGAAGAATGGTGTGAAAAATTAACTAGTTAAAATAAGCAAATAAAAGAGGGAAACGGGAAGCAGAGACGTGGGGAAGGGAGAGGGGCTGGGGGGTGTGGGCGGGAGGCAGCCGGCAGAGAACGGAGCCTGGGAACCGCCGAGGCGTCCGCCCCTGCCGGCGCCGCCCGGCCTCTCCACCACGGGCCGCGAGGCGCGCGCCGGCGGCTGACCTGGTCGAAGTAGATGGTCATGGTGCGGTTGCTCATCTCCGACGGCTCGTGGTTGGTGCTCCGCGTGGCGGAGAAGGCCACCTTGGCGCTGCCGGAGCGCACGGAGATGCCCAGCGAGGAGGTGACCGCGCCGTCGGCCGAGGGGCTGGAGTCGCACACCACCAGGCACTTGCCCTCCAGCACGATGGGCTCCGTGTCGTTCTGCGCCCGCACCGGGCAGCCGGCGGGCAGCAGCAGCAGCAGCAGGGCCAGC